GCAACCCACTGCCACAGGGGCTGCAGCCTACGCCATCGCCGGCGACTCACAGCAGCCCAGCTCCAGGTTGAACTGTTGTTCAGCATCTTAGCTGTGGAGGGCAGTGTCATTGGCCCTCATATGTGGGATCCGAGCCGGGGCCCTCTGGCATCCCAAGCCAGTTCTTAACTATCGCGCCACTCGGCTGGCCCGAATTCTTTTTTTAAAACTTTTTAGTTTGTTTAGGATGCCTCTACTTTCATTTATACTTTTTGTCATTTCAGCCTTGTTCTATTCCAGACCTGGGCATTCACATATCAATTCCATACTTTCTCTCTTGTTCCTTCTCCTCCTTGTATTGCTTTGTCAGCTGATAGAAACAATTGAATATTTCTTGAGTTCCAATGATTCTTCCTTTGAGTAAGAGTGAGGAGTCAGTACAAACTTGGATTCTCCTCCGTTCCATTTGGTAGCAGCATATGGACTATAGGGAGGTTTCTGTGTGCTTCTTCAAGATGAGTAATCTCAGGAGGAATGTCATAGGGAGATGGGGTGGGGAGGGGGTGGAGAGATGGGGGAAATCCTGTTCTTTGTGTTACATCTGGCTTTATTACTGTTTACAGACAGTGTCAATTGTACCACTCCCCCCTGTGCCAGAGACAAAAACAGCAAATTACAGTGTTTACTTTTGTCTTTGTATCCTTTTGGTAGCCCAGAAAATCCACTGCCACCCCTGCAGGCGGGAAGTGGCTCTTCTCTAAGGGTACAATTAATGCAGGCTTGCCACCCCTTTCTTTTGTGCAACTAAATTGGAGGTTTCAGGAAAGCAGGGGAGACATGTTCCCTGAGGCATTCACTTGCGATAAATCCTGGGGCTTTTGTGACCTGATGGTACAATCAAGTGTTCTCCAGATGATTATAGTGATGAATGGTGGCCCCACCTATGGGAGAGCTCCCCTGTATTCTCCGCAGAGGGAGGGTGTGTTAGTGTCAGGGGCTTTATGAGAAACGGCCAGTAACCCTGCCCCCTTCCATAGAATTGTCTCACTTGTTGTGACACGTGGTCTCCTCCCAGCCCAATTTGGCTTTCTAAATTTAGTCCTCCATAATGGGAAGTAGAGATTTTTAATTAATGGATTAGCAATCTCTTTGCAGTTACTGCCTATGGTGGTGAAGGGGGAGGAGGAGAATAATACTGAGTAGCAATAGCAACATTTTGGTATTTTAGGAGACAAGCATAATGATTGTGTGAAAGTTTGAGATTGAGGGAATGCCAGAAGAGCTAAAGAGAGATCAAAAGAGATTGAAATGACTAGAGTTAGTAGAATTTCTTAGGTAGGAACAAGTCTTTTTTTTAATATAAAGGACCGCTGTGTTTGCCTATGGATAGTTATATGATTGTTAGGCTTTAAAAATGTAGGATTAAAGAGAAAACACAAACATGACGCAAATCTGTGGATGTTGGTAAAGTTGTAGGACGTATAACAAGTATAAATGGTTTATGCCTCTAACTGGGATGAAGTTACACATTGTAGCACTGAAGTATTGGTGGTAATAGTTGTTTGTTTCTGCCTGCTTTTGATTCTCTTTTCTTTCCTTTCTGTCCTGTGGCCCCTGGGGTTTCTCTGGCTTTTCTCCCACCCTCAGCATCTGCAGTCCTCTTCCTCACTGTCCTGTTCCACTGCCTTTTCCACGTGGCCTCCTGCTGTTCACTCTGGTCTGTCTCCCTGGGGCCCAGGACTGCCCATTGCTCTCCTACCTCCGCCTCGAATCCTGTCCTTTGTGCTATTCTGGTCATACATTTTACTTTTACATGGGTTATAAACCTCACCGTGCATTGCCATCATTTTTGTTTAAAGAGGCAATTATTTTTTAAAGAAATTAAAAGATATCTTTTATATTTCTCTTTTCTGGCTCTTGACATTTCCCCATTCTGGCTAGGATATTGTGAGGCAGGAGACTATTCTATGTTGGTCAGTTGACTTTATGTCTTTGAGTACTTTCTGTTTGTAATATGTGCTATCTCAGGACTAATTCATTGACATCCTCGGGCCCTTGATAAGTTGAGAGGAGGTGTATACGAGTGTCATCAGTGAGGCCTGGATGACTGCTTGCTCCTAAGGCATAGGCATTTGTGCGAGAGCTATTGGACAAGTGAAGTTAGTTCTTTTTCCTACATAGACTGGATGAGCCCTCCTGGAACCCTGGCTCCATGTGTTCATATATGGAGTGTACAGTGAGATGCAGAGCAGCAGGTGTTAAGGAAAGCTGCAAAATACTCTACTACATCTGATGCATCAGAGCTCATAATAATGTATAATACTGCAATCAGTGAATATAAATGTGGCTGTGATGGAGCCACCCACTCCTTGGCTGGTACTACCTCTCATATGTTGGTATGCCCATGTTTTCACTCTTTCTTTGCCTTCCAGACTTACGGATTTGAGGGAGGTGTGTGAAACTCATCATGGCAAATGTGCTTACGTGTATAGATGCTTTCCTATACATGTGCTGCAAACTTTCATTGGATTTTATTTATAAATATGGCTGTAACACATGTGTTGTTAGATCGGACACACAGAAGTCCTTGGGTGTCTAGGGAGCAGTCAGCTAGGGTCCAAATACTTTTTGTCATTTGGAATTGTGGGTGTTTAGTATCACTGCACTTTGAATGGTGATTTTTATTCCTATGCTGTTGACTATAGTAACTCTTTTTTATTGGGGAGGTACCCAGAGGTCCCCCTCCAAATTCCCATATGGAATTCCCAGGCTTGGTCTAATGGATGAGAAGCCAGCTGTGTTAGTTGAGGGTTTAATCCTGCCTGGTAATATTGGTTTTACAGATAGAAGCACTGATTTACTCCCTGCTGCTGCTGCTGTCTGTTTATATGATGCCTATCACCATGGTATCTGAGGACACGGGCAAATATATTTAGGTTGACTTCAACTAGAATATGGAAAGGAAGTCCTATCTGTATGATTGCCCTCTTTCAGCAATCACTGTTTTCACCAAGTCTTGGAAAGTTCAAAAGCTCTTCTCTGACCTCTAGGCTTCTATTTTAAGTAAAAGGTTAGGTGTTAAACTCTCTTCTGATAGAGAGAGAAAACTGGGTTTTAGGATAAGATCCTAGTGAAATAACTCTTTATTTGAAAATATAATGAAAGATACAATCTTTGTGTCCAGAAAAATGTCTCTTTGTACGTACATATTATAATTTCAGAGGTAATTTCATGTAATTTCAGAGAGTTCATGGATCCTCTGAAAGCCCCTCCATGATCTTATGTTAAGAATCCCTGTCTTAATTTTAGGTTCCATGGACTTCCAATTAATTGTTTTCAAAAAACATCTTAGTATCTGGTTAAACATTTTTTCTGTATCTACTGATCATACCGTATTCCTCCTGGGAATTTTGGCTTAGCAATCTCCTCTCTGAACTTCTTGAGGCTAGAGACCATGTTGGCCACTATGTTTTATTTCCTGTGTCTTCCTGTAGCACTTGGAGCTCCTATTTTAGCATATCCCATTGTTTTGCTATGTTTGCATATGTCTGTATAGTGATTTGTTTAAATATCTATCTTTCCTCTTTAAAAAGTTCTTGGAGGGCAGAGCCTATGTTTTAATCATTGATTTATTCCCAGCACACCGCTTGGTTTATGATACGGGCTCAGAAAACATTTGAAAGAATAAATAAATAGATGAATGGATATGTAGAATTTCTATTAATGATGATTCACATGTTCTTAAAGCAGCACAGTGTTGTGTTTGGGCCTCAAAACCAACACTGCTGCCACCACCAGCAGCAGCAATAACAATAGCGCTCAGTAGGATGTTTGTTGTCATGTTTCCGTTGAGCTGACTTCATCCCCTTTTAATTTGAGTTATTGATGTGAAAGAGAATGGCTGGTAATTTCTCTTTCCTTTGTCTCTTTCTTCCTTACCCACAGATAGCGTGGATTGCTTTTAACCAAGTAAAAATGGAAACTGATCGTTTCTAAGCCATTAACCAGAGTGAGCAGAAGCTTGTAGTTGTTGGAGAGGGAAATCCTTGAGCAGAGCTTCATAGTCAGCTTATTTTACTTTCACTGTAGGCAGAAGGGGCACTCGGAAGTCAGCCTGCATGTAAATATGGTAGCTTTTCCACTGTCTAAAAACATGGGTTAATTAAAAAAAATTTTTTTTTTTTTTTTTTTTAGCTGAGCCATCCTGCCACCTTTTGGCATCTCAGCGGCAGCTCAGCTTGGGCGGGACTCGAACCACTTGCTCAGAGTTCGCACTCTTTGAGCAATCTCTTAACCAACTGATCAGCGGCCCTAAAACATGGGTTAATTTAAAGGCAGATTTATACTGGCATTTTATATTCAACATTTATTCATGGATCACAGACCTTCTTACCCTTTCACTCTGCCACATCCCCTGGATGATAAGTCCTTACTTTTATGACCATTTATTGGGGAAGGGAGTGGTGGTATAGAAGGGTAAGTGATTTGCTAAGGATCATGGAACCAGACACTAACAGTGTCATGATTAGAACTTAGAGTTCCTGACTCTTATGATCAGACGCAGATCACTAGGCAACATTTGCCTCTCTGCAGGAAGAAAGGCCTCCAAAGCCCCCCAAACAATCTGTTCAGCTTCACTGTGCTAAATAGCATCTGAAGCATTCACAGTTTTGTGAAAAAGATAGACATTATACACGGCCTGACCTTTCAGATACCTACTGGGAAAAAATGGAAAATCCAGAGTGTCACAGCTTTCTGGATCCAGCTGCTCTCTCATCACTGGCA